AGAAAAAGGTACCTAATGTAGGAGTTGTCACACAAAGCAGAAAGATTCTTATTTGAAAAGCACTAAAAGTAAAGGATTTTGGGAGTATACTTGAGCCTGTCCATTGTTCATAACCCTAAGCCTAGCCACGTTACGACCATGGAAATGCCCTCTTTGAGGTAGACCATAACCATGTACCTAAATAATTATTCCATGAAAATATGGCCAATTTTAGGCCGTTACACTTATGGACCTACTATTAAGTGGTCATGCCCATATATAAAATGCATGAAGTGTTGAGTTATGATTACAAGATCATAAAAAAAAATTTTGATGATTTGATAGCCATTGGCTTGATTACATCATGTTAGTCAAGCAATCGAATCAAACTAAATTCGATGTTTTCCATATCCTTTGCCAAATAAAAATCAAACGACTATTAGTTAAAAAAAAAAAAAAAACAATCATCTCATTTTCTTTTAATAATAGGGCTATTTATTACCAAGGAAATTCAGGTTCTATATACATTGTCTAAATGAAAAAGAGTAAATACAATAAATTGATTTGATATATCAACAGCCTCAACGTCAACTTTAGATGTCTTTTACAACTCTTGAGAATTGGTCTTTTCACTTGTCATGAGCAACTAAAATGTCCGCCTATGTGGGATATCTCCATCTTTTCTAAGTGAGGAATATTAATTGAACATGATGGCTAAATGAAAAAATGATTGTCATCGCTATCACACATATTAACGTATACCTCACTGCCAATTCATCACGGTGATTCAAATATTAAGTCAATAATCCTTGCTTTTCGAAAACATGTCTAATTTTCTTTCTTTATGCTTCTATGGGAAAGTTGGATTCCCCTTTTTTTTATACAAATCCGTCTTTGTTCATTTTGTAGTTTATTTTCTTTTTTGTTATTTTTTTGCATCATCTTGCATGCACACCGTGCTTTGCGCCTTCCCCAAGCATACGTTTTGAACGTTGTTTGTAAGAGTTCCTTAAGACGTTTTTGTGGTGGTGCTTTACGTAAAAGCACCCATAGACAGGTTTGTCATTTTACTGTACTAAAGTTACAAATGTCCGGGTTTTCTTCTTTTTTCATGTCCGAAGAAAAAAGGAAGGTGTTTTCATGCAGCGTAAAAATGCAAATGATGTATCATACGGCGCAAAATTGTACAGCGTAGGTGTTGCGTAAAATTTCACTTCAGCCTAAGCTTTGCGAGATCTACCTCTCAGAACTAAAAGTTAGAGAATTACTGTAAGCGTTAGCTCATGAGTCGATAGGCGCGCCGAACCATGAGGAACATGCACTTCTTGAATGGGAGCAAATACGGTAGTTAGTGCGCTTACTAACTTATCGAACAGTTAGGGTTTCGAATCACCCCCAGTATAAAGAAGCGACGAGACGATGTCGCACCTATGTAGTCACGTGCCCCCAGTACTAAGACATATGTACTCATCTTGTGGACAAAACCACTGAGAGAGTTGTTGACTTTCTTCCCTCTCACTGGATTTGGATATATGCCTCGAGTCCTGAGACATGTATTTCTATCTTGTGGATATATACCTGGGTCGAATACCGGACCATTTCGTCTCGAATACCGAAAACCCCTTTTCATCTTTTTTACTTTGTGAAAGTCAGGCTAAAGTTCCAATGGCATATCGAGGGAATTTAGACCAACGATGACACGATTGAGAAGAAATCTTCCACTTTTATTCTTTTTTAAAACCGATATCTTCTCATGACTTAACATCACCCAGAACACCTTTACTTGTAAAAGTGTTCTACAAATGCAAAGGATCAATCTAGATTCTTTAGCGCGTTGAGACTAGAGATAACTATTTCTAGCCTAAATAGCTACTTGTTTCAAACACTTAGCGAACCAAGGATCGTTTCAACATCCTTAATATTTCTGAAAGATTCTCTATTCTTAGGGAACTTCACCGAATGAGTCTCGGATTTATTTCCTTGACTAGTTTGATCATCGTCTATTCTAGACTCAATCAAAGTGGGGGCTAACTGTAGACACCTACTTTTGGTCACTTGTCCCGAAAGGAAGTGCAATGATGTAACAATAATTCGTTCTTCATGTTAGATCAAAGTTGAAATGTTTATGAACTATGAAAAGAATTATGAAGTAAGTTGAAACTTATATTAGAGAACAAGTTATCTTAGAGCCTTTTCCAATTACTAATTAGTCCTAAAACATGTTCATACATGTTTAAACTTGATTAATAACTGACCCAAATGTGTCAAATACAATAATTTGATCCAATGGAACCTACATTGTTGAAAACCAAACCAAACTTATTAACCAAAAATCAAATTCCCATGAGAGCCTTATAAAGATGGATATCCCTTTCAAAGAGCTTTCCAACGGTATATTACAAGCTCAATTCCGAGCCAAAATGAAGAAGTTATGATCAAAACAATAAACTGGGCCCTAAAACCGACACCCTTGCACTCCAACGACCATAACTTTTTATCCATAACATATTTTAACCTAATTATATTGGAATCGGAAAGTAGACATTAAGATATTTTCAATGATATCTCACACGCCTTAATCCAACTCTGCGATCAAAATTTATGGAAGTTTTAAAAACGCGTTTTTGTATAAGGCAAACCGCAAACCAGCGGAACTCAATCAGTTGCGCGTGCCTTGCGCGCGAGACTCATTGAGATGCGCGCCGCACCCAGCACGACTCATAGAGTTGCGCGCGCCACCTGAAGGTGTGGTACTAAAACCCTAATCCTAGATCCCTACGCCTATAAATAGGGGTCTTCATTCAGCATTACGGGGACCAAAAATTAAGAACTTAAACCCTAGTATTCTCAAAACCCTAATCTCTCAACTTCACTTACTATCATACTACTTTTTCTTCACTCTTCCTAAATACTTTCCAACCCTAGTTGAATCCATTGAAGTCCTTCGAGGTAAAAAGAAAAAAGGAAGTCCATAAACACATTAAACGGGGATTTAACATAATTGAAGAACGGTTAGTTTCCTGAGCACTTAGATAAATCACTTTTCCTTTATTGTTTAAATAACTTTAATTGAATAAAACCCTAGATTTAACTTTAGTGTTGTTTGATAACTTTAAACAAAATTTTTATAAATTAATTCACATATTCTTTCGTTAATCCAGACTAGAATTTTAATAATTAAATGTTGTTTTACCACTTAACATAAGGCGAATATTGTTTATTTATTGTTCTTTCACGAATATTGATTAAATAAGAATAACGACTTTTGCAATGTAATTCCTACGTGATTAATTCTTGTAAATAAAATCAACTAACTTAGTCATAAGGTATCACGTTGTATATATTTTTTTGTAATGAAATTATGAAAACGGAAGAGCTAGTAGTGGTCGTACCAGGGCTAGAATAGCGATTCCTACCTAAAAGGAATGTTATTTTAGTACCATCGCTCCCGAACTCATATCTGGTTTATGTAGACCAATTTGGGCATGGGTAAACTTATGATTCGTGCTAATTATTCCATGAACTCCACATAGAAGAAAGGCATGAACGAGGTTTATGAGTTTTCCTAAAACTCATTGGCAACTCCTACTTGTTTCTTACAAAACAGCGTGATGAGAGTATCATTTCTAATTCAAGGTCTCCCAAACAGTCAGGAATTCAAATCTTAATGCACCATAACAAGTGTACAGTCATAGGCTTATAAAGGGCCAATGGGCATCTAAGGAAGGACCCCCTTACGATGGGATCACCCTCCTTACAACAGGCAATATCAAAAGGCATATATACTCAACATTTTAAAAATCTTGATGAGCTTTGGCTTACAAGATGTATTGAAAGAAAAGAGGTCAATCTTAGGCCAACAAAGAAAGGATATGATGATTTCACCAACACGAGAGGCAACATGAAACTCCATAAATATAATCCCATGTCCTTAACCTTAGAGAAAATCCATCGTTTTGGCAACCCTTTTGAGCCTCGTCAATTGAGCCTTAGTTATTCAACCTACATTATTCCATACCTTGGGATAGGAATGGTGCAAAGATACAAATAGGAAATTGGGGGAACGAAACATAAGAGGGGAACACAAAGTTAGTCTAAACCCAAAAGGAAATATCAAATGCAAAAGAAAAAAGAAAAAATCGTTCTAAACCCAAAACAAAACTTGCCAAAAAAAAAAAAAAAAAAAAGGAAGGAGAAATGACAAGGAAAAGGCACCTAATGTAGGAGTTGTCACACAAAGCAAAAAGGTTTTAATTTGATAAGCACCAAATGTAAAGGATTTTTGGAGTATACTTGAGCCTGTAAATTGTTCATAACCCCAAGACTAGCCACGTTATGACCTTAGAAAGGCCCTCCTTAAGGTAGACCATAACCATATACCAAAATCATCGTTCCATGAAATTATGGCCAATCTTGTGCATTTGCACATATAAACCTACTATTAAGTAGTTATGCCCATAAATAAAGTGCATGAAAAGTGCATGAAGTGCTAAGTTATGATTACAAGATCATATAAAAAAAAATTCAAATGATTTGGATTAAATCATGTTAGTAAAGCAATCGAATCAAACTAAATTCGATATTTTCCATATCCTTTGCCAAAGAAAAATGAGATGACTATCAGTTTAAAAAAAACACAATCATCTTATTTTCTTTTAATAATAAGGATATTTATTACCAAGGGAATTCAGGTTCTACATACATTGCTTAAAAGAAAAGGAGTTAATACAATAAATTGATTTGATATATCGATAGCCTCGATGTCAACTTTAGATGTCTTTTACAACTCTTGAGAATTGATCTTTTCACTTGTCATGAGCAACTAAAATGTCCGCCTACATGGGATATCTCCATCTTCTCTAAGCGAGGAATATTGATTGAACATGATCGCTACATGGAAAAAAAATGATCGTTGTTGCTGTCACACGTATACCACACTGCCAAGTCATCACGATTATTCAAATATTAAGTCAATAATTCTTGATTTTCGAAAACATGTCTAATTTTTTTTCCTTTATTCTTCTATGGGAAAGTTGTATTCCCCTTCCTTTTTATACAAATCCGTCTTTTTTTGTTCATTTCTTTTTTAAGGGGGTAATTCGGGATGATCCCTTCCATTTGGCATCTAAAATCACTACACCAAAAACTAGAATAAGAAACGCAAGATAGAAAACGGTTAACTTAGATAGGCGATCTCTAGGATTATATAGAACGCCTATCTAATTTAACCGTTCTATATGATTTATTTTATTATTTTTATTAAATTGTTATTTTATTATATAGAACGCATTTCTTATTTAACCGTTCTATTTCATATATCCAATATTTTACACTCAAAAAAAAATCTAACATACCAAAAGACTCAAAATTCTAACCCTAACTCCTCTTTCCTCTTAAGATAGCCGTCATACACTAATTCTCCTTCATAACTTCCCCTCTCGTTTTCCTCTTCTCTCACTTCTTTCCTCCTATGAGACTCTAACTCCTTTCTCTTCTACCTTCATCCCTTAATGTTCAAAAAACTACAAGCTGAAGCCCGATTAAACTCCGAGCATCGTCACTGATGTTACAAAATATGCGGTGTGCAAAAGATCAATATTCTCAATGTTACAAAAGTTGCGGTGTGCGAAAATTCGTCGACCTCTTCCTCTGTTTACAACTAGCGGCCTTACCCCAGCTCCGGTACAATTAATGCGAAAGATTAAGCCATTGAATATTTCTTTTGCTCTATTTATGGTCATAAGTTGTTGCGGGTTGATTGGTGTTTAACATTATGGAGGTAGCTTGTTTAATTCTCAATTATTTATTTTAGATCTATAACTTTTATCAATTGATTTTTATGTAATGATTTGGATTAAATTCTAATTTTTCATCTTTGATTTATGGGTTCTTGTTGTAACTTCTCTATTTGCGTGCACTATTGGTGGAGGCGCTGCGGTGGTTGAGGTTGGTGGAAATGCTGCGGTGGTTTAGGTTGGTGGAAGTGTTGATGGTGGTTCAGGTTGGTGTTGAAGTGTCGTTCAGGTTGGTGTTGAAGTGTTGCTGGTGGTTCAAGTTGGTGGAAGACTGGAAGTGCCGCTGCGGTTGCTTTCGAATTTCAAGGGAAAATGAAGTTGGTGTTCTTCTAAAGTTGTAAACACATTAATAATTATTAAGTTAGTTTAGAGAATTGTATCAAAATCTACTTGAATTGTAATTACAATAAAGTTTTTTTTTTAATTAATTTGTCATCTGACTCACTTTTACAATTGCAATTCAATTTTGTTTATTGATTGATGATGCAGTTTACGAAATACTGTAGTATATATGCAAATTCCATGACGCAATATTATTATTATTTTATTTATTTTTTTAAAAAAACAACAAAAAGAACTGTTATCTTTGCTAACCGTTCTCTTTTATTCATTTTTTATAAACATGTAAAACATGAAAGAGAACGGTTATTTTTTGCATATAGAACGCCTCTTGTACCCGTTCTCTTTTCCCTTATATAAAGAACGCCTCCTATACCTGTTCTGTAAACTTTACACATCGCTTAGCAGAAGAACGCCTCTGAGGCATTCTATAAGGCCTAATTCAACCGTTCTCTATTCCATTTTTTGTAGTAGTGAATACTCGAAAATAATATAATTTTTTCGCTCTTTGCCTCAAATTTGGGGCTTAAAAAAGCCAGGATTTCCCCACTTTCTCTATTTACAGATTTGAACACGCTATTTATGCTGAAAAATCAATGTAATGCAAAGCTTATTACGAACCATCTTAATAATTTTAGGCAAAGGGAAGAATACCACTTCCTATTATTTTACCAACATAATTAATTATGTTACTTGATCAAACCATTTCTGATAAATATGTGCAATATTCCACAAATTAAAAACACAAGTCTTGGGGCTTTAAATAAACATGAGAAACATCCCTTAACATATTTATACATGAATTCCAAAAGCCACCTAAAGTCTACGCTTGAGAGCTTCAAATTAAAAATATAGGTCTCACCTTAACTTTCATTATAAAATGAGACCATATTTTAGAAAGTGATTCGAATGATTTTATAAATTATTTTAACAGTTCACCAAACCTAAGTTTGATAAACATTCATTTTCAAACTATGGTACTTATTTAATCAAAAGAACTTCACTTTTAATTAATAAAATATGACAATGATGACAAGAAGAAAACCATAAACAAAATCAGATATACGAAAGTTTGCTCACATTTTCATATCTTTGTTGAAATAAGTTGCAAATTATAACTTATCTTCATCAATCTTGGACAAAAAGGTCACACTCAATTACGAGCTAGACTTTTCTTTCCACTTCGGGTCCAGTTTTGAAAATAATATAATTATTGGATCTCATTTCAAATTTTCAATTTTCGTTTAAAACAACATGTTTCTAATAAAAAATAGTATTCAAAATTTCCTTTCTGAATTTTTGTTTTCTCAATTAAATAAATTTTCAGATTCTTTATAACCGTTTGGATAATACATGTATTTTTCCAAAATGAAAGAATTAAGATTCGACTTCTTCTTGACTCGAACTTGTTCTGACTTAGTTCTCCTGCGAATATAGGCTAAGGGATGGTAAACAAACCACCTACTAGACCAAAATCAAAGATTAATAAGAACAAAGAAAATATTTGATGTTCTAAATCAACTTTGAGAATAAAATCACCACAATAATCTTTACAAACGTTTATACATTAGGTATGATATACTAAACCTTAAACACAATTATTATTTTTTTATAAACAAGCAAAGAACTAACTTGCTTTCGTGAACATGACTTTAACTAAAATGTGAAAGCCATGTCATTGTCCTAAATATCTCAAAAAAATAGGACATATACATAGGTCCATATCAGTATCATATGAATGGCCTAAATGATAGCAAGTCATTAGAACTACTACAAATTGAGGGCTCTAAGACTTGTAAAATAGTAAGAATGCGCATAACCCGACACATGGGGGCTCCAATATCTACAAGAAAAAATAATAGAGATATTCATTCAATTCGATCTACTTTCGGGAATCGCCCAATCTACAAATGATTTACGTAGATCTCGAGCCTTAAATTTTCAAATGCATCACAATGATTTAATGATCATTTTGTTCCTTTGAAAACTAAGTTTGCAACTGAACTTGACCATTAAACAAGTTACATACGCGAGCCATTTTCAAGTTCAATTCAAAAACTAATCTTAGTGAATTATTGTTGTTTCAATACTTCAATTTACTCTAGAGATTAGAGAGTATGACTAGTATAGAGCAAAAGAAAAAACATCATGATACATACATGCTCATATGAAAGTTGTGTACTCAATCATTCATCATGAAAATTATATCAAGACACTTTATTAGCATAAGACAAACAATTTCATGAGTTAAAATGCAAACAAAAGACTCCTAAATTCTAAATTAAGGAGTCTTCATTTAAAATTATTCTCCATTGTTGCACACATTTGGAATTTCGCAAGGAGGATAACATCTACTTTCTTGAGATTCAAAACAGTGACAAAATTGGAACTTAAAAGAAAGAATTCAAAGTAGCATATTTGAACAACATTTCATTTTTCCCCTTACATGTTCTAATGAATAATCAATATTACTAGACTTAGAAAATTTCTTTGTTAATATTATAAATGGTCAAAAACGGTTTAAACACACTAGTTTAATCATTTCCAAGATCCTAGTTGTTATCATAATAAGACAAAACACGAGATTTGTAAACCCATTTCAAGCAGCATGAAAGGGTCTAATTATTGACAACAATAAAATCATCGAAGTAACCCAACACCGGGGGCTACAACATTCGAAAATAAAAAATGGGGGCTTACGAACACGAAATTTATCCAAGCTACACCAGTCCGATGATTTCTTCAAGAATTTCCTAAACTAACTAGTTTTGTGCAAATCTTGAAATCACAATTTTATAAGTGAATGATCATAATCATCAGTTATTTTTATCATTGATAAAGTCGATTTTGCAATTTACGCATGAAAAAAAATAATATGAGTCGCAAGAACAAATTCATACTATTATAAAAGTTCAAAATTTGATTTATAATTTTAATGCATAATTGTTGTTCTAAACACTTCAATTTACATTAAAATTAACAAGTATAGTCTATGTGAGAAAAAAAAAAAAAATAAATATCAAGCACAAAGTCAAAATTAGAATAAACAAAAACACATATATGCTTGACATGCTCATACAGAATCAATACCTTATCACTTCACATGCAATATATTGCATAAACTTGTCACAACAACAAACAAACAAATTCATGACAACAAATCTAATCAAAAACCCCAACTTTTGTTATGATTCTTCATTCGATTTCTCTATTTTATTGGCCAAGATCAAAGGCTGGTAGAATAAAAGGAGAAAGATTTACTTTCCTTAGCTTCAAACGACAACAAAAAATGGAAAGAGATTAAAATTGGAGAAAGAGGAGAAGAAGAAAGTAAGCTGCAGATCGCGCTTCTCCAAATCTTTTACTAATTTGAATGTTGCGCGTAACTCATTAAGTGGTGCGTGGCATCCCAACGCAACCCAGTTTCTTGTGCGCGCTTCGCCAACGCGACTTAGTGAGTTGCGAGCGGACACTGGTCACTTAAAAGACCAGTACTAAGATTTCAAACCGTTTTGAATTTTTCGTAACGGTTTTGTACGTTGTTAAACATAATAACGCGCAAATTATTACAATCTTTTAAAATTTCTTTGCATCCAGTAGTTTCTTTTATTCTTTGATAGTTTTTTGCATCATATTGCATGAACACTGTGCTTTGTGCCATCCCCAAGCATACGTTATGAACGTTTTTCGTAAGAGTGCCTTAAGACGTTCCGTGGTGGTGCTTTACGTAAAAGCAACCATAGACAGGTTTGTCATTTTACTGTACTAAAGTTACAAAAGTTCGGGTTTTCTTCTTTTTTCACGTCCGAAGCAAAAAGGAAGGCATTTTCATGCAGCGTAAAAATGCAAATGGCGTATCGTACGACTCAAAATTGTACGGCGTAGGTGTTACGTAAAATTTCACTTTAGCCCAAGCTTTGCAAGATCTACCTCTCAAAACTAAAAGGTAGAGAATAACTGTAGGCGTTAGCTCACGAGTTAACAGGCGCTCAGAACCATCAGGAACAGGCACTTCTTGAGTGGAAGCAAATACGGTAGTTAGTGCGCTTACTAACTTACCGCACAGTTAGGGTGTCCGACCACCCCTTGTATAAAGAAGTGACGAGACGATGTCGCGCCTATGTAGTCACGTGCCCGCAATCCTAAGACCCGTGTACTCATCTTGTGGACAAAACTGCTGAGAGAGTTGCTGAATTTCTTCCCTCTTACTGGATTTGGATATGTGCCTCCAGTCTTGAGACATGTATTTCTATCTTGTGGACATCCGGCTCGAATTCCGGATAATTTTGGCTCGAATATCGAAAACACCATTTTCATCTTTTTACTTTGTTAAAGTCAAGCTAAAGTTTCAATGACATATCGAGGGACTTTAGACCAATGATGACACGATTGAGAGGAAATCATCCCCTTTTATTCTTTTTTAAAACCGATCTGTTCTTATGACTTCACATCACCCAGAACACCTTTACTTGAAAAAGTGTTCTACAAATGTAAAGAATCAATCTAGATTCTGTAAAGCGTTGAGACTAGAGATAACATTTTCTAGCCTAAATAGCTACTTGTTTCAAATAGTTAGCGAACCATGGAACGTTTCGACATCCTTAATATTTCTGAAAAATTCTCTATTCTTAGGGAACTTCACAGAATGAGTCTCGGATTTATTTCCTTGACAACTTTGATCATCGTCTATTCTAGACTCGATCAAAGTGGGGGCTAACTGTAGACACCTACTTTTGGCCACATGTCCAGAAAGAAAGTGCGATGATGTTACAAAAATCTGTTCTTCATGTTTGATCAAAGTTGAAATGTTTATGAACTATGAAAAGAATTATGAAGTAAGTTGAAACCCATATTTGAGACCAAGTTATCTTAGAGCCTTGTCAAATTACTAATTAGGCCTAAAGCATGTTCATACATGTTTAAACATGATTAACAACGTACACAAATGTGTCAAATGCAATGATTGGATCCAATGGAACCTACATTGTTGAAAAACCGCGCCGAAAAGGTAAAAAAACCGTAAAATTCCCATGAAAGGCCTATACATATGGATATCCCTTTCAAAGAGATTTTGTACGGTAATTATAAG